TAAAAGCAAGTGCTTACTTTCCTTTACTGCAAACGTTTACTTTAGTACATATAGTATTTGTCCATTCATTGGTACTTTTACATGAGTAAATGTTTGAGTTCTTCCTCCGCCACAGATGAAAATCAACAGAACATAGAAAACAGTCGGATAGAGACTCAATGTGATTCACAGTAATTTTTATATTTGTGAATTTAATACTGTGAGAAAAATACTGTTCCCGTCCTCATGGGTCAACTTCAATATAATTTACAAACCTGAACAAGTTTGATCCTGATTATCAAAGTGAACTGTGAAAAAGTCACAGCGGGTAAGAATACAACAACGTGACTGTGTGTGTGTAAAGGAGGTGAACAAAACAACACCCGACGACAAAATGCACCACAAGTTCTACTCTTCGTTCTTTTTCCAATTAGTGCTAATGACAAGTACTCACCTACTTTACAAGAAAATATTGCAATATTTTGTTCTTACAGAAAGATAAGAGGATCAAACATAGCAGATATGAAGCTATAACAGGGAAATAATTAGCTTAGCTTAGCACAAAGACTAGAAACAGGGGGGAACGGTTAGCTTGGGTCTGCATGATCAAAGGCAACAAATCTACATTATATCCTGTTTGTTTGATCTGTACAAGTCGGACTGACAATGTTATCAAAGGAAAGACAAAAGTACAAAACTGAAAACCAGCATCACCCTTTAATTCAGCTCACCACCTCAAATCACCTTTAAGACTTTTACCTTGTTGAAGTGTTTGTGATATTTTGTCCACAGCCTGAGTGAGTTCATCGCTATAGAAAGTGAATCAAACCGGAGGAAGAAACTCAAAGTGAAAAGCAGCAGAGGGTGAAACAATGTGAAGAATATAAAGTTGTTGTGCAACAAAAGCTGCAGTTTGTTCTTTGTTGTTGAACAAAGTGTCTGAGTGAAACTGGAGCTCTCGTTAATAACGTCCTGCTGAAAACTGATCCGCTCTGTGAACGCAAATCACCTCCACACGTCTGTGATCCAGAACTCAGAGTTCTATCTGTGACGTTCACGTCCAGCAGGTCTCAAAGTTTAGTCGCAGACTCTGGTGCTCCTTTATCTGGACTGAGCTTTAAGATGAATCACTTTTACATCCAGGGGAAACATTAGAATCGTAAAGTTTAAACATTTTGAATTAATACCGTTTCTATTTGTGAGACCAGCTGGACAGTTAACGTCCAAACAAATCAACTTAATCCATCAGTTGAAGTTTTCTTTAAAATAAGAAATCAGATTTACGTGCGTGAAGCCGGCGCAGGGATTTGTGTTTGAGTAACGCAGCGATCGAAGACGACCTTTTCACCCGAATCGTGCCCGCAATGGTCAATGGCCTCTCTCCAGAGGAAGCTGTGGAGAAATGATGGCGGCGGCGGCGGTGCTGCTGCTGTTGCTGCTCCCAGCTGGAGTCTACTTTCCTGCCTGATCCGTCTCCGCCCAGAGCGACTCGAGCTGGTGCGCCCAGCAGCTGGAAGATTTCCAGCGGTGCGTTGCAGCTCAGGTACTGCCAGGGCCTCTTTCCCGCCGTGTCCCTGAGTTTCACGTCAGCATCAAACTTGCTGACCAGCAACCGCATTATGTTCTTGTTGCCGTGAATGGCGGCAATATGGAGAGGCGTGTGGCCAGATGTTGACCTGGCGTTTATGTCAAACATCAAACCGGCCTTTTGGACTCCATACCTGAAACCACAGCCGGAGAGAGCAGATCAGTGCCGGGTCACAGAGTATTAATCCACATCAGCAGATCAGATTAATTAAAGACCTCAGTGCTCTTCAAAGAATTACTTTTATGAGTGAAATCAGTTTCATGAATCGGAACTTCATCGAACTGCTTCGTACCATAAGGTGTTCAGGACTCGGTGGTCTCCGTGTTTGGAGATCCAGTGCAGCACAGTGAAGCCGGAGATGAAGTCTCGCTTGTTGAGCAGAGACGGTTCATCTCTGAACAAGGAGTAGATTTCAGGCCAGTCCCCCGCCGCCCCCTTCACCAGCCAGGTGTGCTCATTGGGCTCCAGAGGAACCAAAGACTGAGAAAGGGATCAAACAACGGCCTCGTGAACTGATTCAGTCAATTACATAAAAGCAGGAGGACAGTAATCAGTACTAACGGTTATTATGTAAATCAGAATCGATCGATTCGAAGGATTTACAAACAGATTACTGCGAAGAATAGAACAGGAGTTTTGAATAGGACATTTCAAAATAAATAACCTGTGCAGATGGAAGGTCTCACCTGTTTACTGGAGCCTTCATGCTGAGCGGTGGAGGGGGAGGCAGGGTTAACAGCAGGGAGGCTCCTCCTACCTCCGACCCGCCTTTCCCTCTCGACCAGGTCAGCGACGCTGTGGCTGCGTGGCGGCGTGGAACACGACGACAGAGAGGAGGAAGAGAGGTTGTGATGGAGACTGAGTGAGGAGGAGATCAAATGGAGGCGGTTCAGTCGGGCCACCTCACTTCCTCCTCCTCCCTTCACCTCCTCCTGCATGAGCTGGTCGAGGTCAGCCCCGAGGCTGCGGCACATCCTGCTCCTCACCTGACTGCTGAGCCGCCTGGTGACCGCCGGGCGCTGCCGGACGGGTGACGATAAGGAGGAGCCATCGCTGGACTCAGCGTCATCATGGTCGTCATAGAGATCACCTGAGGGTTCAGGATGCGTTGAGCTAGGACACAGATCGTCTGAACGAATCTCACGGCACCGTCTAGTTTCCACCTCATCCAAAATCACCTCTTACTGACTGAGGACCTTTGTTAAGTTTATATTCACTGTAAATCTCCTCACACTGAATATACCTCTATCTGTCTTCACACTGAATATCTAGTTTAATTACATTCATATGTTTCTATATAACTTTGTATATTCCTGATACTTAAGTGTTGCATGTTAGTTAATGTCTTTTTGACTCTTGCTGCTGTAATATTGCAAATGTCCCCATTGTGGGACCAATGAAGGATTATCTCATCTTCTTATCTTATCTTGTCCAAAGCCACGATAAATGTTTTGTAAAATGAATAAGAGCGGAAGTGTCTCTCCAGAGGGCGTCAGTGTGTCTCACACAGTTGGACAAACAGAGATAGTTGTGTTATGGATGATAAAGATAAGTCCAGAAGGAAGTTCGATCTCTGAACTTTCACTTTCCTCTGTTTCTCTTCAACTACAGCACCTGAATGTTTCACTGTTCTGACAGTGATGCCACACAATCTGCTGGAACTTCAACCAAACATGTTGCAGCAGGTTACTAACAGAGAAGTTCTGTTCTTTTTCAATGTGCCTGTTACAGTTAGCCCACATTCCAACACGCCTCACGTACATCAACACAGAAACTGTGCGAGAAGCTCCATGTCAAGAAATACTCATTTCGACTGAACTTCACAGCCACGTTCATCATCTGATTCTATTTCTAACTAGCTATGATGACTTCCTGTCAGTTGGAGAAACAGCCTTTAATTAGCTCCTTCATAGAACGGATCCTTTAAAAACGAACTGAATGTATTTAGTTGAACACTGAACATCTCGGTCTTCAGAGAAAAGCCTTTCAACTCTCACCTGTGGAGAGGTGCCATGGCAACACTCGGAGTTTAGAGTCCTGGTTGTCGTGGAGATGTTCAGTGGAGTGGTGGAACGGTGACAAATGACCTGCTGTGATTTTACTGTCGTCGAGATGCGTCACAGACTCAAGCTTGGTCCTTTGTGCTCGCTGGAGTACGTCCTCGATTTTATTTCCACGGCCAGTCTCACCTGTTGAGTTAAAGTTAAAGAGACAGTTTTTTGTACGAACGTCAATTATCTGATTTTCACAAGCGGAAAGAACTCCAAACACCTGTATAGTTCTATTGTTTTTAAACCTTTAAAAGTAAACGACTTTTCCCATCTAATGTCACCTATTAACTAAAAGACTGATGATCTCTGTTGGTGTCCAATGTAATTGTTTTGGTCTGAGGATCTAACGTGATAATTTAATAAGCCTCAAAATCAGTCAAAGCCTATTTAAAGAGTTGTATTCAGACAAAGTTCTTCTAACACTTTGTCGTTATGGATGCTAACTTCCTGCATGGAATGTTTTGTCAAAGACGACTCCAGCGGAGGTCATTTTTCTGACTATACTCTGTAGAGGATTAATATGTGCGTTACAGTGAGCGTTTCAGGAAGTATGATGTGTGTGTGTGTGTGTGTGTTTGAGTCGTAACAAACTGCAGTGTGTGTTCGTGATAACCTCCCCCAGTGGAAAACCGTGGTTCACTAAAGTATTGTTAACAGTCTTTGAATCAAAGGAGCTCCATGGCACAGAAGAATAAGATGCATCAGGTTTTACCTGCCGGGGCCTGTAGTTCCTCGTAGCTGCTGTTCCACCGGGATCCTCTGGAGGAGCCAGACGGAGGCCAGTCGCTGCTGGAGAAGCCAGCGTCCGAGGAGGGGGAGAAGATGCTGCTGTGGCTGGACGACAGCTGCGCCCCCTGGCTGTGATGAGACCTGGGTTCCGGCTGAACGCCTGGCGGCTGCGGGGATCGACGGTCCTGGTGGACGCCGTGATGAGGTGAAACCTTTCTTACCCCGTCTGGAGATGGCGTGTGGAGGTCTGGTCGGCTGAATCTGATGGGTGTCGACTCTGGTGATACATGTGTGTGTTCCACCCCTGCCCCCACCCACTGTCCTTTTAGCTCCTCCCCTGGCTCAAAGCTAAAAGCTGGGCCAATGGGGGGCAGCGTTCCTCCTTCCACATCCTGGACGTAAATCTTTGGGAGATTCCTTTCTGATGAAGAGGAGGACGCAACAGAGGGAGGTGCAGGTGACTCTATGATGCATGGCGAGGAGGCGGAGAGGGCCCTCATGGAGCCTTCTAGCGGAGCACTGAGGGGCCACACTCCTCCTGCTGAACCTCGCCTCATGGTGGCCTCTTCCTCTTCCTCTTCATCCTCATCATCATCATAAGAAACAGCCGATTTGTAGCTCGGCCTGTGTCTGAATCTGCGTGGAGCGACCTGAGGATGAAGGGGAGGATCTTGATGAAGGCCTCCTCCTCCTCCTCCAGGCTGCACACAGGCCTCCCTGCCCCTGAGGGGTTGAGGGGCTGCCCCCTGCTGGCGGGTTTCTCCATGATGTCGGACCACGGGTGTGATCCCAGGGGGGGGGCCGAAACCCAGAGTCTGCTGCCGCACCTCGGTGCACTGAAGTCGGACGGGAGGCTCAGACACACCGGGGGTCTTCAGGAGGTTTTCTTTAGAGAAGTGGAGCGGAGCAGCTGCTGCAGGTGAGACACGAGGCTCAGGTGAGAAGTTTACCTGTTTTTGATGCTGTTGATGATGTGGTGGTTGTTGTTGTTGTTGTTGTTGTGGTTGTTGTTGTTGTTGTTGTTGTGGTTGTTGTTGTTGTTGTTTTTGTGGTTGATGCTGTGGTTGTTGTTGTTGTTTTTGTGGTTGATGCTGTGGTGGTTGTTGTTGTTGATGCAGTGGTTGTTGTTGTTGTGGTTGAGGCTGTGGTGGTTGTTGTTGTTGTTGTTGTTGTTGTTGTTGTTGTTGTTGTTGATGCTGTGGTTGAGGCTGTGGTGGTTGTTGTGGTTGTTGCTGATGTTGTTGTTGATGTTGTTGTTGTTGTTTACGTTTCAGGTTCAAATTCGTCTCCATGTTGTTGTTGTTGATGATTCCAGCTGCAGGTAGGATCGTTTTCATGGCGGTTTCTCCCGGCGGGGCGGGTACTGTCACCTCCCTCATCTGTGCTTGTATCTGGGGCTTCTCCGCTCGCACCTCAGCCGGACTCAGGTGAGTCTCCGGGGACCTGGAGCCTGCTCCTCCTCCTCCTCTGTCCCCCGGGACATGTCCCCGGAACTTCTTCCTCAGAACCACATAAGACACTCCGTCCTCCTGCCGGACCGTCGCCAAGGTGTTAACGAACCTCTTGAACATCTCCCGGTTTCGGTCCCGGTCCGCGTGGTTCCGGATAAAGTTCCTGAAGTGAAGCAGCAGGTCGGAGTTTTTCACGGAGCCTCTGTTGCTCCGGAGGAAACCAAGAACCGCGTCCTGCGATAAGTCTGTGGCCATGATGGGTTCAGTGTGTGTCCGTGTGTGTGTGTGTGTGTGT